TTTCCTTTAAAAATATTATGTCTACACGTAATAGGTTTATTGTTGTTATTTGAAATGAGTTGATAAAGAATTTTTTTAAATTTTTGTTTTAATTTCTAATGTGATCAATTATGATAAAGATAACCCATACAAACAAAAGGTTTTTTGAACCCTCACTAGTTTTTAAATGTATAGTCTTGAGACCAAAAATAATATTGGACAACTGTTGGTCTAAAGTGGTAAGAGACTGTACTAGAGTAATGCCAGCTGTCAGTAACTGATAACTGAAAATTGAAGAGAAAGACTCAAATAGAAATGTGGTTCCAGATTTTAAGAAAGATATTTAGACCTATGAGTTGCTTAAACTAGCTTCTTGGATGAATTATTCAAAAGAGTTGACTGAGTTGGGCTCACAGTTACCACCTTCAGGCCCTTAAAGGAATCAAGTCCTTTAAGGCCAATTCTACGCTATTAAACATAGTATAATATTTCCGATAATTCTTCTTGCTAACCTCCAGGCCACATACAATAAGATATAAAAAGCCAAAGGTAAATCTTAAGTTCTTTCATATGCAAAGTAGTCCTGCAAAGCTTCTTTGAAGTTAACTCTCATATTTTTATTTTACAGAAGAGGAAACCACGTGTCCGGAAGTATGAGTAATTTAGTTAAGTCACAAGGAAACAAATAGCAGAGCCTGGATTTGGAGTTGCTTTTTTATTTCCACTCTATCCCAGATGTCTCTTTCTTAGGTATATCAGGTTGAGATAGTTGTGAAGTGTTTCTTTTTTGTTTTATTTTTATCATATAAATAAGGGCACCTTTTCTCCACTGCACTGGATGTTTATGCAACAACACAGTGACCAAGGAAAATATTGTATCACAATAAATTTACATTCCCATTACACACACACACACACACACACACACACACGCTTTGGATGTCCCCTTCTCTCCTGAGCTTCAAACCACTGTAATGGTGTTATGGATAGTATTTATGTCTGTATTCCACATTAATAGATGTTAATCATGTGTTCCATTAACAGCCAGTCTCAAAAAAAGCAGGACTAAGCTATTAAAATAAGTGTGGGATGATGGCAATTATATGAATAACGAAAGCTAATATACTTTAAAATTCAAGAAGTAGTCACTTTTACCACTTGCCTAGATTTAGCTTAGCTATGACTAAATGCATTGTTTTGAAGCAAATATTTTTATGGGAAAAAGTGTATGATATGGGTTTGATGTCAATGTTAAATTTTGACTGATAGATGAGCTTTTCTTTTTTCAAACAGAAAATCTAGGCTAAGCAAGAAATGTCAACAAAAAGGCAGATATTTCTATTATATAGATAACATACAAAGGAAATTAAACTTTATATGGTTAGAATCCCTGTTATATAAAATAATTAGGCTTGTAATACATTAACTCCTGTATTTGTAGTTCACTTTCTTTAACAAAAGACATGAGATTTCACTGCAGAGTTGAGATCACTCTGATAGGAAATATGTAATGATAAAGAAAAGCGAGAGTATGCTATAGGGCAACTAAGATATAATGGAAGCTGGAATTGGAGGTTCTTTTACACTATATATTAAGTGGTATGAAATGGTTATTTCTATAACAGCTTTTCCCTAGATTTCTCTAGGCTATCTTAACATATTTGAAAAAGAAATTAAATTTGTTCTGTATTTTCCCCAATTGTATATTGAATAGATGTGCAACACACAGATATAAATGTTAATGCAATTTAAGAGGATACTGCAATGATGTCCAGAAAATCCTGCATTCAAAATAGGTATAATAGTTGTCCTTAAAGAAACTTGAGAAAGGGTAATATGAAAACATCACATTTCCATGAAAAATGAATAATGGAAGCACAAAGTTTAAATTCCTACTCCATACAATGATTATATTTCTTGTAAAATAGAATGAGCAACACATAATTGCTCTTTGACTAATTCTAGAAGAAAAGTCACATGATCAGTCGATATGTCTACACATTAAGTCCTGGCTGATTAATAGTGATTAATACTGAGTTAAAAAGGACAAAATGTTATTATTAAAGGATTCATAAAAGTGTTTTGTTTTTAAGCTGTGCCATTTAAAAATCACGAAGATTATTTTAGGTAATGTTATCGTCTTCTTTAGTTTGGGCTGCTATAACAAAATACCATAAACTGACTGGCTTATTAGGAACAGAAATTTATTTTTCATAGTTCTGGAGGGTGGAAGTCCAAGATCAGGGTGCCAGCAATGGCCAGGTTCTGGTAAATGCCCTGTTCTGGGATGCAGACTGCTGTCCTCTCATTGTACCCTCACTTGGTGGAAAGAGAGCTAGAAAGTTTCCTGGGGTCTCTTTGATAAGAGCAATAATCTCATTCATGAAGGCTTCATCCTCATAACCTAGTTACCTCCCAAAGTCCCCCATCTCCTAATGCCATCACATTAGGAATTAGGATTTCAACATATATATTTTGCGGGGAGATCAATATTTAGTCCATAGCTTTTATGGAAAATATGCTAATTATTTTTCAATTAAATTAAAATATCATGTATGTACATACATAGAGAGAGATTAGAAGGGAGTCCACTATGCATTAAGTAGCACGTAGTGAGTGGGCCTGCCCTCAGGAACCTAGAATAGACAAAGCTGGGAGAATAAATAAAATATATGAACTAGGAAACACACATATAAAAGATGACAGAATCACCATTCCCAAAGATCTTGTTGGATTTGAATCATGAACTGCATCTAAAGATGTAATTTGAAAATACAAAATCTATACTGCTGTACTCAGATTCCTCTGAAAGAACTGTAAGTTTATAGGAGAGGAAAAACATGACTCATCAAGTATAAGAAGTAAGCTCCTGCATTCGAAAACAGTTGTCTCTATCTTTTTTTAACTCTAGCACCTGGTCCAAAGTGGACCTTTAATAAGTATTTGTTGAACTTGACCTGGATCATGTTTAGAAAATTTTGTCAATACTAAACCTAAGGAGAGTCAAGAAAGCAATGTGTTCAAAAAAGAGGAGGTTTAGACTCTTTCTCAGTTTTCATTGGTCAGGCCAAACTGAGGGCACAACTCTTAGCTCTGGAATTGTACCTTACCAGCAGATAAACAAACTGTAACGTGAATAGGAAAGAGGCAAGGCTACTAAAAGAACCCAATAACTACATCTTATAAGAAACAGCTGAAGGGAGCTAATGTTTAACTTGTGGAAGAGGTTACTAAGTTGTTTTCAAATGTATGAAGTAATAATAACAGTTATCATTTATTAAACAGCTACTATCACATTCTGTATCTCATTTAATCCTACTAGCAGACATGTGGGGTATTATTACATTTTTTTACTGATAAGAAAACTGTCAGTCAATGAGGTAAAGTAAAATATCCAAACTCATACAGCTAAAAAGTTACAAATCTAAGATCCATGAAATGATTTGATTTCAAGGCCAGGGCTTATTACATTGTTCCTATTTGCTGTTCACATGCAGTCAGCTTAGACTGGTTCTATGTGTCCTGTAGAGACTGAATAATGGCAGACAGATTTCAGCTCAATGTGAGTGAATTGATATATTCATTTATAGGACAAAATGTGGTAAGGTATTTTTATTAGTCTCTAGGAGATCTTTATAACATTTTATTGCTGAAAGTATATACTATAATGTAAAAGGATACAAAAATACTGAACACTGGCAAAATAACCTATGATTGCAGAGGTTACTTACGAGTTACCTGTTTTAAAAGAAATAATAAAAGTAATATTAGAATTAAATCTTCTTTCGAAGTTCCTTCACCCACTCCACTTCCTGCTCCCCCAAAGTATATCTTTTTACAACCAGTTGTGGGTATTTAGCACCAAAGTTTATTGTTACATACACAAATACGTATATGTGTAAAAATGAGAATTACTTCAAAATTAGTGTTAATTTTACCAAAAAAAAAACCCAAAAACACTTTATCCCTGGTTGATTTACTAATTTATTTCTAAACCAGAAGTATTTGTAGACTTAAAAGTGAGATATCACAATTAAAAATGTATCAATATTCCTCAACCTTGTGTGGGCCATCCCAGTTCCAGATGTCTATGAGGTTCTTGCTGGAATCAAAACACTAGAAAACAGGCTGAATTAATGCAAATGGTGTTTGGTTTTAACAATGTTCTACTGAGAAGCACACGTCCATGTAGGAAGTCTGGAGATAAAATGGATAATTATTAATTCCAAATGGATCTATGGGACTTAAGGTGTGGAGGTTAACCATTCCCTTTTGTTGACTTTCCTGGAACTCCCTGATTTCTGTAACTGATTCTTGTGCCTCTTCCCCACCCAGGTAGAAATCAGATGCAACTAAATCTTCTACTCTACGAGAAATCAGGGAAATATACAGTAAGGGAAACAGGTTTCCCCCGCAACAGTTTATGTTTCCCATTTGTTTTTCAGAGAAAGGACCACTCTTGTCTCAGGCATGTTTGAAGGGTTGGAAATTCTCATTTAGCGATATGAAAAACGCAGCTACCTTTTCGAGGATGTGCGAGGCTGAGGCAAGGAAGGCTAAAGCAGAGGGACGTGTGTTCCCTGCCCCAAATGATTGCGGCAGACAGTAGGATGGAAGAGCGTTGGGGTGTAAGGTTGCTTGGGTTGCAAGAGGCCAATGTCTTTCCTGTCATATTATACAGAGAAAACAGCGCTGGGAAAATAGATTGGCGACAGTTCCCCCCCACCACCACCACCACCACCTCTTTCTTCTGCTTTACTGTTGCCCAAAACTGACTCTTTCTGTCTCACTCCCCACCCCTTCCTTCCAGCTCCCTTCCCATTCTGCCCCTCCTTAGAGGTGTTTGCACAGACAAGTGCCAAGTGGGGAGAACAACTCGTTGGCTCGCTTTGCGCAAAATCCAGCCCTTGTCTCTCTGCTCCCTCCCCTCCAGCCTCTGGATCCCGCACTGCCCTCCGTCCCCTCCCCCAGCGGTGCCGGGTTGGGGATGCGTCTCTGTACTAGTAAGGTGGGAGGGGGGCTACAAGCCGAGGATGACAGATGCTCCGTTCTCCCCGCTTCTGCCTGACGCTTCTCTCCAGCTCCGCCAGGGTTGGTCTGTGTAAGAACTAGCAGGAGCTGTGGCCGCGGCGAGAAAGCGGCGGAGGCGCGTGGAACCCGAAAAGTCCGGGGGCTCGCGGTTACCTCGCGACGTGGTCCCCGCCGGCCGCCAGCACCATGGACAGCGGCGCCGTCCCCAGGAACGCCAGTAACTGCACTGACCCCTTCGCGCGCTCTTCAAGTTGCTCCCCAGCACCCAGCCCCGGTTCCTGGGTCAACTTCTCCCACTTAGATGGCAACCTGTCCGACCCGTGCGGTCCCAACCGCACCGAGCTGGGCGGGAGCGACAGCGCGTGCCCTCCGGCCAGCAGCCCGTCCATGGTCACGGCCATCACGATCATGGCCCTCTACTCCGTCGTGTGCGTGGTGGGTCTCTTCGGAAACTTCCTGGTCATGTACGTGATTGTCAGGTAAGAAAGGCGCCCGAGCTCCGCGCGGTTGTTTCGGTGACTAATAGGGGCATAAAGGGACACGCGAGCCCCCAGGCTGTTTGGAGGGAGCATGAGAAAAGAGAGGTAAAAGGGAGAATGTGGAGAGACAATGAATAAAGGGGTTACTGTTTTGAGTGCAAAACCTTACTTTTCTATTTCCCTGCACCTCACTGATAAAGAAGAGCCCCCAAATTTCAGCAACAGAGAAGTTGCTTTGGTAAAAGCTACAAAGCGCTGACAAAAAAAAAAAAAAGCGCTCTATCCTAGAGCTAGCTCGCTTACACTGAGCCAGGAGAACCCTGGGGCAGAATCCCACAGTCCCTTAGGCAGAAGCTGTGGAAACAGTCATTCGTGAATAATGGAAGAGAATTGTAGTTTATTTCCTCTAATTGGGGGCCGGGTCTCCTTCTCAGTTCTTTTCAGAGATGAATCTTGGCAACACTCCTACGCCTGCTAGCTGCTTTGCTGTACCATATCCCACCTTCCTCTTCCCTTGTCATGTAGCCCCCGTCCACCTTCCACCCCAAGGCCACGCTCGCAGAGGAAGTTTTCCTGGCGTCTCTCCACAGTGTTGCTTTGTTGTACCAAGCAGACAGTGTGTTGCAGTTAGCAGCTGCAGATGTGTTAGGGAGATCTGAACTGGGAGAAGGCAGAGTGGTTCAGAAGGGCAGGATGTGACTGTTTCAGTGCCTCCAAAAGAGGGAACCAGCTAGAAGTGACCAAAAGCAGCACAATTCTGGATTATAAACTATTGTATAGAAAGTTGTAATGGTTGCTCTTAAAAAATAAAAAGTGTCTTTATCCAGGGCAATTATTTCAAAAGAGTTGTGGCCCATGCTCTGTTTCCCAGATGCCCTGAGTTTACTTGGCAAAGAGTATGCAAACTCTCAATATTAATTGAGATTGATATAGATTGTATTAGCATAGTGTATATTCAAATCCTCTATGTACATGGAATAACATGGATTCATTTTTGTTAAAGCAGATAATAATTTTAATGCTTCCAACTGGCCCTTGATTTAGGATTTTCTTCCTACTGGGCGATCTGTGTGTTCTATGTATATAGTGAACATGGACTTTTCATGGTTAGCTACAATATTTGCTTCATCTATTCAGCAAATATTGCAGGTTTCCATGGAGCTCTTTAACCATTCAACAATCCATTTTCCCCATTAGGCTTTCGAGTTGCTTGCAATCAATTTTCTACTTACATGTCTGATTTCTTTAATTAATGATTACTACAGAATAATACTAATTTCCCTGATCTTTTGATAAGGAGTAAGATAAGGAGCGTCTCTGAGAAAACAGCACCATCTATTGAGGAGAAGGCTAACAACAGAGGGTAATGCAGGAAGGGACTCAATGGAGGGCTTCATTTTTATCAACATTTACTTTATGTAATCCCATACAAAGATTCCTATCGAAGATAAAAACTAAGTCTCATTTTGCAATTATGATAATAAAAATCACAATTAAAGGCCTGCATTCTGAAGGGAAAATATGTTTCTCATTTTTCCTAAAAAAAAATTCATGAAATCATAAGCTTATAGGACCAGAAGGGACCCTAAAGATTATCTGTGTTAGGTGAGTAAACTGAGGCACAGAAAACACAAATGATTTCTCCAAGGACAGATAGTTCATTAGTTCAGTACCACTGAATCTCCTTTAGCCAACATAATTTTCTGTTTATTAGAGTAGCAAATCATGATTTGAGTTAATTAGACAAAAAGATTGACAGAGTAGAGCAGGTTTAGGTAGCAGCAGTAATGTGGAAATAATTAATTCTCCCAATTTTATGTCTGGAATCCTGGAGAGTAATGGATGAATCAAAATTACCAATGCATCTAGAAATCCTGCCATCTGAAACATGTTTTCTTCCCTTTTATTGCTTCTCTTGATATTTTCCTTCATCGTTTGTCTCCCCTCTAGTTTATGCTTTTCAATAAAAGAGAGCCAACAGAGCAGCAACTGGCTGTGAAATAAGCAAATTGGTCTTATTCCAGAGTTTAAGGGATTGCTGGCTAGGTGAGCTTGTTTTAAAGGCATTACCTCTGATCTCTTGGTGACTTGAAAAAGAAGGGTGACATTTTATATTACTGAGAACATGATATTATGCTTTACTTCTCTGTACTGAAAGTTCTACCAAAATGCCGGTATGATTGGATAGGTCACCCAAACATCAACCTTTGCCAAGTCGGGTGTTTAATCCAAGGTCAGATAACCCTCTGAGAACATGATTGTGAAACAGAAAAACAGACAGTTCAGTGACCAATGGAGTGATGAAGAAAGTATCTGGGGATTCAAGAAAGGTTGTCTATGGAGCTGAGAATATTTAACTGGACTGTCTCCAGGCTGTGGTGCTTTCACTACAAAATCATGGGTTCAGGGCTATTAGTATCCCTGTTAAAACAATGAGTATAAGGTTGCATCTATTCAAGTATTGAGATAAAATGCTCACTTCCTGCTATTATTTAAGATTCAACAAATAATTTTGAATGGTCAAGTATGCAGTTTTCTAACCAGATTAAGGTAATGTTGATTATAATGTCTTAATACATTGGGTGATGCATGAGGCTCAGATGACTATGGCAACATAAACATCAACAAAAATAACTGGAAACACAGATGCTGTGATTACTGTTTTCCTGTTCTGTGTCTCAACTCCATCATCATCATAGCTTCATCAACAACATTACGTAGGATTCTTACACAGTGCTGCTCTGAGGAACATAAGGGAGGAAAGGAGGTACTGTCATATGATCTAAAGATTTCACATCTAAACATTAAGTGATGGAATGTTATAACTATTCATGATCTGAAAGCTTTTTAGGTTTTAAGGGAAAAAAATCTTGCAGGATAATAATACTATAAAAATTACCACAAACGTTCTGGAAAATATTATGATAAAATATTACAAAATATAGCAGTTATTTAAAATAGGATGATAGTATATTATTGTCAAGAATATTTAAAGAAAAAAAATAAATTCAAGTAATACACAAAGTTATAGTTACCAGGAATGTTGCACTCACTGAAAATACTTGACCAAAGTATAGAATTAACCATAAATGTAAAAACTGATATAATCCCAGTGTGCTGATTTTGTGATATTTTTTTTCCAAAATAATTTGTCCCTGTAGTCATAGACTTGGCCTATGCCGATACTGCTGGAACTGTTAGAGCCCTGTGGGCTGTGTAAGCCATCCTTACAAGTAAAGTTCCAATGAAGAGCGCCAAACAATTGCCTTCATTTTTAACATTTCTTCATTTGACTAGGTAAATTCTCAATACGACTAGTAATCAGAAAAGAACGTTTAAATATATGCAAAATGTTATTGTCATGTTTCTTTCACTACAAAGTGTTTCCAATTTTAAAACAAGACCTGTGAGCTAATACTTGCTCTATATACTAAATATTTGATTCAGGTTTAAACTACAAAATAACCAGTCATGCCCGATTGAAACAGAAGTGCAAACTTGTTTCACTAAATTCAGATGTAAGTAAGAGAAAATAAGGAATAATAATGTCTTGTTTAATTTAAAGATATATATGTATGTATTTGTATATATATATGCATATACAAATACATATATACATATGAATTAATTTGAATGTATATGTCATTGATACGGGCACTAGTAGTTTTTATAAAATAAAAAAGTTAATGGTTCATTTAGAAAACTCAAATACTTAATAAAGCTCATTTTATTTTTTTTTAAACTATAAAACATCCTAGTTAGAGGATGAACTTAAAAGGAAAAAAAAAAAAACTACTAAGTAAAATCCTGTTCTTAACAGAATGGTTTACCATCCAAACATAAGAATTTAACCGTATGTCCTTCATTTCACAATGGAGAGCTTCTAGCATCAACTATTTCGGTTTGAACTTTAACTGCTCCTTCCTATACAGGTGCTAACTCTGTTGGGAACACCCCTTCCTCAGCGTGTGTCCTCAGACCACTAAATTGCTTTTAATTTTCTATGTTGTAAACTGTGCCTGTCATTTGCCTAGAGTTATCCCTGTGTTTCTTTTCCTTCTCTCCTTTCTTTCTTGAAAGAATGAGTTATCTTAATTTTATGAAATCTTTCCAACATAAAGGAATGTATAGAGAACAATATAAGATTCTTCACCTTTAAAAATTATATACATAATTAGAATAATTATATATACCTTTAGAAATATATAATATATTACATACTATACATAATAATATATTTTACTTATATATACATAATATATACTACATCA